CTCCTCCATGAGTCTCCTATCGTCTCCAGAGCACTGTCCTCCTCCATGAGTCTCCTAGAACCTCCAGAGCACTGTCCTCCTCCATGAGTCTCCTATCGTCTCCAGAGTGCTGTCCTCCTCCATGAGTCTCCTAGAACCTCGAAAACACTGTCCTCCTCCATGAATCTCTTAGAACCCCCAGAACACTGTCCTCCTCCATGAATCTCCTAGAATCCCCAGAGCACTGTGCTTCTCCATGAATCTCCTAGAACCTCCCAAAGCATTGTCCTCTTCTATGAATCTCCTTTGACCTCCAGAACACTGCCCTCCTCCATGAGTCTCCTAGAATAGCCTCCTCCTGAGCCCTCCTTCCAGGGCCTCCTCCCAGGACCTCCTACCTTCTCATGGGCCCTCCTCCCAAGTCCTTCTCCCTAGGGAGGCTGGTCTGAACCTCCATCCAGCTCTCCTACATCTGGAGCCTCGTCCCCCGACTCACCAGTACAGGTAGTAGAAGAAGGACAGGAGGTAGAAGGCCAGCTTACACCAGGCCTCCTTCTGGCAGTAGCTCAAGGTATCTGCGTTCATGACTACAGGTGGGTCGTAGGCCAGCTCTGCGCTGTCTGCCGGACAGTGGAAGTACCTGCAGGAAAGAGGTCATGGACTCTGAAGCCCGGGGACCCTGATGTCATCCCAGCCAGCACTCCTGATGGAGCATTCACCACAACCATGTCCCACCATGGCCCCTCCACAGTCCTGTCCATCAGGGGCCCCTCAGCAGTCCTGTCCAGCCGTGGCCTCTCCTCATGTCCAGCCGTGGCCTTTCCTCATGTCCAGCCGTGGCCTCTCATGTCCAGCCGTGGCCTCTCATCATGTCCAGCCGTGGCCTCTCGTCATGTCCAGCCGTGGCCTCTCGTCATGTCCAGCCGTGGCCTCTCATGTCCAGCCGTGGCCTCTCATGTCCAGCCGTGGCCTCTCCTCATGTCCAGCCGTGGCCTCTCCTCATGTCCAGCTGTGGCCTCTCCTCATGTCCAGCCGTGGCCTCTCATGTTCAGCCGTGCCCTCTCATGTCCAGCCGTGGCCTCTCCTCATGTCCAGCTGTGGCCTCTCATGTCCAGCTGTGGCCCTCTGCAGTCCTCAAGCCACAGGCCACACCATCACTTGTGGCTCTGCCACTACTCCAAACAGGTGAAACAGAAACTCCTCCAACACCAGATCCACCCACATCAGTTGTCTCTACCCACCCAGCAGACACCCTAACAGAAGGGGAAACGTGTCCCTGGTGTCCCCAGGGAGGACTCAGGAAGAGGCAGCAGAGCTGGGAGGGTGGTCAAGGCACAGAACCACATCACCCTCTCCTCCCACTAAACCTGCACTCTACCTACTACTGCATTTAATTGCTTTGGATTAAGTGTCTTCTGCCCTCAGTGTGGAGGGCCATCATGTTCCCATGAGTGCAGAGTCGTTTTCTGTAACTTATTTGGACAGGACTGCAGAAGGGCCACAGAACAGCAAAAAAACATTGGTTAGAATGTCTGTGAAGCAAGTGCTGTAGGTGGAGGAGAAAGTTCAGCAAGCTGCTCCTCAGCAACCAAAGGGTGCTCTTCAGTCTCCAAGAAGTCTGGAGTCTTCAGGAAGGAGTCTTCAGGGAAGGGAAAGTCTTCAGGAAAGGGAGTCTACAGGGAAGACTTCATATTCTCCTCCCTGCCACTTAGATCCATATGCAGACTGCATTTTACAAAGTCACAAGATGTGACGCATGGTCTTAGTGGGGCACAGAAGGTTTGAAACCAGAACTGTCCCAGAAAATCCAGCCCATCTGGTAGGTGCTTTTTTTAAAAAAACTGAAATACATTTGCATCCCACAAACTTCATCACTTTAAAGTATACAATTACAGTTTTGCCCCCAGCAGGACTGCCTGATTTCAGATCATTTTTTTTCTCCCTGGAAAGGAGCTCTGCACCCACTAGCGGTCAGCCCTCGCCTGCCTCCTTCTGGAAACCACCTTTATTTCCTGTCCGAACATCTCATGTCAATGGAATCCCATAAAGTGACTGTGAAGCTTTTCACCGCCAGATAATAGGCCAGTGTATGGACATACCACACTTTTTCTGCATAAGCATTTCGGCTGGTTTGACTTGGGGGTCTATCGGCAATAGTGCTGTGGTTGCTTCTAGTTCTGACCTATAGGTCTGGGGCTATAAGCAATGGAGCCTGTGTGAAGGGCTCCCTCCCTGACTTGCTGCTTCACGCAGCCTGCGGGAGGGGGGAGGGATGGGGGGGAGGAAGGTACCAGTGGCTGGGCCAGGAAAGGCGCCCCGCCCTGCCCCGGCCCTACACGTACCTCCAGAAGTGGTAGAAAAGCAAGGGGACATTGAGTCCCAGGCTGAGCCACTCCTGAGCACACAGGAACATGACGCAGAAGAGGCTGTGGATGGCGTACTCGGGCAGCACCAGCTGAAGGAGGTAGAGAGGCAGGCTCGAGTTAGGAAGAGGCCTCAGCCTCCACACAGCAGCCTCCAGCCACCTCTGCCACAGGCCCTCTGTGGACCAAGGTCTCCTTGAAGGAGCCCCAGCACCAAGACTGATGATTTCTGGAAGGCCGCCATGCTTCACACCCCATCTGACACGCGCCGGCCCTCAGCTTGTTCCTGGGTCACTGCGCTCATGAAGGGTAGAGGCCCCCAGAGGCCCCCAGCATCCTCAGCCTCTGACTGGAGGCTGCACATTAAGTCAGACCCCAAGTGGGTAGCGCCACCTGCCGGGGTCACGTCACCTGCCGCTGGCCCCCCAGCCTGGGCACCGCCCTCCTTAGTAAATGCACATGTTTGTTTCATGCGCAGGAAAGCCAGGAGGTGTCAGCTTGATTCTGTGGATGAAGAAAACTCAGGAGAGATAAATAACATAAAGGATTAAGAGGAATGGGGCAGAACAGTGTCTGAGAGAAAGGCCAAGAGCAGCCCAGACTGAGGGAGAGAGGGTGGACAGAGCGCAGCCTGGAC